GGGTATTGCTTGCTCACTTCACTACATGTTGCTGAGCGCGGGCTCCATCTCGGGTTCTGTGCTAGGCCCTCTCTGCAAAGGCATCTTTCTCAGTCATTCCTCTCACTCCCAACATCACACGTTCAGTCCCCTGCAAAGTATAACCCAGACTCCTCAGCCTAGCCCCCCCCGCCCCACTGCCTGCCATGGTGCAGCCCCATCCTGCTCTGGCAGCAGGGAGGGCACTTTAAATGACCACAATGGCACTGCACAGGATGCCTAAGGCAATCCACCCGGCCCTGTTACAACCACTTAGGAAACTGAAACAAAGCCACCTAGAGCTTCTTGCCAAAATGACTTAACAGGGAACGGGATTTAACTTCCTGTTTAAAACAACCCCCCCAAACAGAAAAAATATGTGAAGATACTGAGTATAGAGCATTTAAGGACCCTGAGTGGTGGTTGGCCAATGAGGCGAATCCTATGATTGCCTCAGCTTATTCCTGTGAGAGAATTTCCAGGTCTCAGTGCTGGGAAAGGGAACTCAGAGGATCCCTGAGTTAGGGATAACAAGCTGAGAGGCTGAGGGAGACCAAAGCCTGGAGACCAGAGTTCTCAGGACGGAGTAGCAGAGAGGAGAGCACTGTACCCAGAGAGAACAGGGGGTGGAGAGGGTTTCCAGAGGCTGTCCCTTGAGCAGTACTCATCTGAATGCTGGTTGGCACAGGCAGATGAAGAAACTACCCCAGTCCAGGAGAAAAGTACAGAAAAGGGTTTGAGATAACATTGCCTGGTGTTCCTGCAAGAAGAGTGCTTATCCCATGGTGTCCAGAGACGCAGAACACTCCGGCCTCAGAAGTGGGGCATAATAATCCCCAGACTGAGCCCTGCCTCAGTTGTACCTAAACATTTTAAGATCAAGACTTTCTCAGTTCTCTGCCTTCACATTTGCACTGGGCTGTGTAACTTTGGGAAAGTGTTCACACACCATGTGTTCCCTATCTTCCACAATGTCGTGATCACACCTCTTTACCTTTTCAAAAAGTGGGCTTGAGAGCTGATGAGCAGGTTCTGAGAGCAGGTCCTGATGACCCCTGACCCTTGATGAGCAGGGGTCAGACACTGACTTCTTTAGGAGAACAGAAAATTTCCTAGAGGACATTACGGATTAGAATACGTGGACTCTTGTGTACAGGAGCAGCCCCCAGGATGCTGCAAACTAGATGGCCGTGTGGACGCGTTCTAGCACCTGCACAGTTCACATCAGTGAGTTGACCTTCCCCTTCTCCTGGAAGATTTGCCAACCCCTCCATTAGATCATTGAAACTAATCTTATAAGTACTGTAGTCTTTCTAGTGAATGATCTGTCTTTCCTGATAGCTTTTTGAGTACATACAATATTTCATACACTTGTGCATGAAAAAGGTTTTATTGGAGGAAATATAATTGTTTTAACTTTTTTGTCATTTTGTGAATCATGGTTATTTTTTCCTATCTCTGTCATGAATTTGAGAGTTAATTTTTATTGAATAAAGTACATTCGGATGGTTAAAACCTCTTCAAGTGTATCTTCTAAGATAGAATACAGGATAAAGTATTCTGTTATTACCATCTTGCTCATTTTATTTTTTATTTATAATGCTCAAAAGTGGCTAGTGATATAAGGCAAGAAAAAGAAAAGGTAACAAAATAGAAGGAAAGAAATGGAACATTTGCAGATGGCCTGATGGTCTACATAGAAAAATCCCAAGGATTTTCAAAACAATTACTAAAACAAATAACTTCAGCAAAGCTCCCAAAATACCAGATAAATACATAAAAATCAACCACATTTCTATATATAACAATGAACATGTTGAAAATGACATTGAAGATACAAAAATGAACCTCAATCTGAAACTCACGCCTTATTCAAAAATTAACTCAAAATGAATCATGGACTTAAATATAAAACATAAAGCTATAAAAGCTTTTACAAAAAGTAGAAAATCTTTGGGCCAGGTGCAGTGGCTTCCACCTGTAATCCTAGCACTATGGGAAGCTGAGGCAGGAGGATCCCTTGAACTCAGGAGTTCAATACCAGCCTGAGCTAGAGTGAGATTCCATCTCCACTAAAAATAGAAAAATTATTTAGGTGCAATGGCAGGCACTTATAGTTCTAGATACTCAGGAAACTGAGGCAGGAGGATGGCTTTAGCCCAGGAGTTTGAGGTTGCTGTGAGTTAGGCTGATGCCATGGTACTTTACCCAGGTGACAAAGCAAGACTTAAAGCATGACCATAAGAGCAGAAGTTTATAATTTGGGTCTCACAAACATTAGAAACTGTTTGTTCTATGAAAACTCATGTGTAATGAGCTGAATTTTTGTATCCCTCCAAAATTTATGAGTTGAAATCCTAACCTCCAATGTTATTAGAAGGTGGGGCCTTTGGGGGCTGATAAGATCATGAGAGTAGAGCCCTTGTGAATGGAATTAGCACCCTTAGAAAAGGGACCCCAGAAAGCTCTCATGCTCTTTCACTGCCAAGTGAAGATACAGCAAGAAGTCAGCCCTCTGCAGCCAGGAGATAGACCCAACAAGAATCCTACAGGCTTGGGCGGTGCCTGTGGCTCAGTGGGTAGGGAGCCAGACCCATATACTGAGGGTGGCAGGTTCGAGCCCAGCCCTAGCCAAACTGCAACAAATAGCCAGGCATTGTGTGGACACCTGTAGTCCCAGCTACTTGGGAGGCTGAGGCAAGAGAATTGCCTAAGCTCAGGAGTTGGAGGTTGTTGTGAGCTGTGACAGCACCCCACTCTAAAGTGAGACTTTGTCTTTTTAAGAAAAAAAAAGAATCCCACAGGCCGGCACTCTCGTCGTAGCCTCCCAGACTTCAAACTCTGAGAAATGAATGTTTGTTGTTTGAGCCACCCAGTCTATGGTATTTTTATTATGGCAGACTGAGCTAAGACCCCATATGAAACAGATAAAAAGAGGAGCTATCTGAAAAAGGACCAGTACTTAGAATACATAAAGAACTCTCAGAAGTCAATAGTAAAAAAAGCAAACATCCCATAAAAAATGGGCGAAAACATGAACAGACGTTTTACTGAAGAGGATAAAAAGATGACAGTGAGAACATGAAAAGATTGTTCAACATCATTAGACACCGTTTAATTTAATTTAATGCAAATTAAAACCAAAATGAGATATCATTACTCACCTGTCAGAATGGCTATGATAAAAATAGCGACACCAAATGCTGACAGTGATTCAGGGAAACTGGATCAATCATACATGGATTGTGGGAAGGCAGAATGGTTCAGCCACACTGGAAAGAAGTTTGTTAGTTTCTTATCAAAATAAATATGTAGTGATCATCCAACCCACCAATTGTACCCTTGGGGATATATTCCAGAGAAATAAAAACTTATGTTCATGCAAAAACCTATACACAAATGTTCACGGGAGTTTTATAGTAGGCAAATACTGGACACAGCTGAGATGCTCCTTGGTTGGTGAGGATACATCCAGTACCATGGAATACTCAGCAATGCAAGGAAATGAACTATTGATACATGCGCCAGCTTGGATAAATCTTAAAGAGAATTATGCTGAGTAACAAAAGCCAATTCTGAAAGGTTACATGCTGTATGATTCCATTTATGTTGCGTTCTTGAAATGGCAAAGTTCTAAAAATGGAGAACAGTCCAGTGATTAACAGGGGGCAGAAACCTAGATAGAGGGGGAGCAGCAAGACAGGGGACAACCTGGGGGACCTGCGTGGCCATGGAACTGTTCTGTGCCTTGACTGTCCCGGTGTCAGCACCTTGGCTATGATACCAAGCTATAGTTTTGCAAGATGTTACCATTGAGAGGAGCCTGAGAATATTCAGGTCTGTCTCTGTGATTTCATATAACTGCATGTGAATTTGCAATTATCTCAAGAAAAAAAGTTTAATTTAAACACTTGGCATTGTATTAAACACTCATTAGAATGTTGAGTTACAGGTTGTGATTGATAAAAATCTCCCACCTCCTTCAGTGTTGGCCATCTCAAGATTTTTTAGACATGTTAACTGACATCCTAATAATTATCAAAACCGTAAAATACATCATTGAGCATCAAGAATAATTTGATCTACTGTATTAAAGAACCATTTTCATCAGGAAAAACACACACACAAAGAAAACCTTTACGATGTGAACAGCGGCTGGCCACTGGCATGCTGGGCCTGACAGAGGGCTACGGGCTCTGCCTCTGGGCTGTCAGATGAGGCTGACGTTCTCTGCGTCTTTTCCCACAGGAACTCCTCTTCAGTGTGTGCGCCCTCAACGTCCTGTCCACCATCGTGTGTGCGCTGGCCACAGCCATGTGCTGCATGCAGATGGTCTCCACCGACATCCTGCAGATGGTGAGTGGCACACTCAAAACGTCAGGGCCAAACCCCTTCTTTAGCTGTTTAAACCAGTGTAGCAATGAGCACACCCCTCACCCCTTCCTCCAGTCATATTGAGTAAGAGCGAGGGCCCTGATGGCCCAAGGTGCCTGAGGTCCTCGTGCTGCCCTCTGGAAGACAGAGCGTCTGCACGTGTGGTGCCTTCAAGGTGCTTATTTGAGCTTCCCGTCAAAGGTCCTGACACTTTTGTGTCCTGGATGGCCCCTGGCATGTGCTCCGGAGTAGTTTTAGTCAAAGTCCTGCAGCCCTAGACGTCCTCTGGACCCTGCACCTGCAGAGCAAGGCACCTTCTTTGGGCTTCAGAATCAATTCTCTTTTAATGTAGGCAGTTTAGGACTGCTAGAAAATGGGTTCCTCTGTAACTGAAAGCTGTTAATGTGCGCTTTTTAAGATTTGTAGTCCAGCAGTCAGCCACCTGAATCATCTGGTCCTTTGGCCAAGGTCTCATAGAGGAAGACCTGATGCCTCCAGGAAGCAGGAGGCCAGGAGCAGGGTCACTGTTAACACATGTTACAGTACATGGGTTATTGATATGCAGATCATAAATCAGGAAGGCTCTTGTTTTTATGCGAGTGGGACACAGCTGACTGCTCAGATCTACCGCTG